TGATCACCGATCCTGATCCTGCTGATGGATGTTTACAACTTTTCACAGAGTCCTGGCAAAAGATTGCCACAGACTGATACTGGGGCCAAACTCGGGTCCCATGCAAAGACTAATGCTTCGCACTGGGGTCTGAGATAAAATCCCTTCTGCAAAGTACACCATCCTTCATGTTTTATCCAGTCTGCAAGCGAAGGTCGATTTCTTGTCAAGATTCTTTCTCACACCTGAATAGGAATCAAACGAATGGCATCTCATCAATCTGAAACCACCAAGCAGATTCATCCACACCAAGAAATTCCACACAAATGTGTCCGCTGGTTCCTCCACTTCATGTACAAAGGGAAGACATATGAACTGCAAGCTCTTTCATCTGGTCTGTTTACCTCGCCCAGAGTTTTACCCCGGTTGCGAAGACTGTCACTGCCCATCTATGACAGCTGCACATCATAATCTCCCAGTACTTGGGTGACTGGCTGATTGTCAACCTACAATCAACCCACCTTACTATCTGCAACCTCGCTATTCCACTCGACTTCCTCACCAACCAAAAAAGGTGGAAACTGGCACCATCCCAGTACCCAACTAACCTCAGGGTGATTATCAACTTCCGCAAAGGCAGCATCACCCCGACGGGCAGACAAGTTGCCATTCTACAGAAGTGCCCATCTCACTTCAGTCCGCTCATTGACTCCAGCCTTTGCCTGACCCCACCTCCTCAGACTGATGGCCAATGTGTTGTGCTGGCTTGGTTTGATCTGCTGCAACTCCACCTCCTTTCTTAATGCCATCCTCAGTCATACACCATTGAACTTCCAGTCCTCGAATCAAAGGACACTTTCCAATATCTGCCATCGTGCCTAAAGGAAGATCACCTAAATGCAGAATTAATTCCACAGACTAAATCTGAGACACGGATAAAGACCACGTTCTCACTTGAATGGAGCCTCCCTTCCCCTACATCAGGTTTCAGAGAACTGGCATGCCTACTCTAAATAAAATCTCTTCAGTGCCCAGGAACTCAAGCGATCTGGTCTGCCCAGACAATTCAACGTTAATTGCTATTTTCTACCATCAAGGTGACATGCTTTTTCCTTTTTCCCCCAGTTAGGAGTCCTTACATGGGAACCTTACAATGGATGAAAGGCTATGTAATCAACATACCGCAAGACCAGATTATATGATAGCAGTCACACTCTCTCACAACTGAGTGGACTCTGCTCCCTGGCATATAGTCAGAGCACTCATCATATTACGTTATGAGAACCCACATCAAACTCTTCTCATTGACGGACAAGACCTAGCTCTTGGTGTTTTCCACTAGAGCACTGAATCTTTGGACAAAGGCCAGGATCGCTCTTTCTACAGATCAACCAGTCCTTCTAACTGGTGTAGAGCACATATGCAGCCGGACATTATTAATTACCCTACTCTGGCAGCGTCATCTCTGGTTCCCCGAACTGAACAGACTTTTGGCTCACCAGCCTTCCATCCTTCTGATAGGACTGGACTCCCCCCAGCAGCCCACGTCAGGGATCTTGCATGGGGACACCTGTGGTCTTTCATACACTATTGGATATCGTCCAATGATCCTGCTCAGTAGGATTTTCTGACGACGCAATAGCCATGTCCACATGGGTACAGCACTTTTCTGGCTGTTGGTCATCTGACCGCTGTAGTGGATTTCATCATCTACCTTTTCCTCTGTGTACTGGTTGCTACGGTCTGCTTCTACAGATCAGCCTTGGCCACCATATATGTTGGCTTCAGAAACAAATCCATCTCTGATGACATGGCCCTTCGTCATCTCCTGTGTGGTATGTCCAATGAACGTCATCATACCAAGCAGCTACTCATATCAGGAGACCAAAGCAAAAGCCCTCCGCTTGCTTACTGTTCCCCCTTTTTGTTTGAACACCTCACTGAACGGTCCCTATGACCTGCCAACACCAACCCAGCCTTCCCTCTGGCTATGGGTGCCTCCGGAGGAGAAAGTATACTGCAAGCCCACTCTGTTTGCTGAAGCTCACTCACACTGGCAGCTGCATAATTTTAGCCTGATACCGTCCATCAGCTTTCTGGCAAAAGTCAGACCTCATCATTGAGCTGCTAGATATTGGAGCTCTCAAGTGCCTCACACACCGGAGGCATTTCGGACAAACTCTGGTACCCAGTCTGCATACTGAACTAGTAAAGCAAAGCACTGGACAGGGACCCAATGAATCTTCACTTCCACAAGGCTCCATAGCCCAGTGGCAAGAGACTCCATCACCCGCTGGATGTTGTTGGCCATCATATTCACCAAGTCAAACTGGCCATCAAGCCCTGTCGGACATAGTCAATGCAACATCAGAGCCCATCATGTAAGGGCAGGTATCTGCATTTGGGCCTTAATTTTAAGGGCTTTCTGCTGTAGACTTCTGCAAGCTGCATGTTAGGAAGTATCCCTCTACCTTAACCTCTTGCTACCTTAGGGACATCCTGCAAAGTGACTCTATGCATAGCAGGATGATCCTACTGTCACTGTGCACTCTCCTGCAGCAAGGACAGATGGCAACACATCCTAAAGACCATATTAGAATGAATTAAGTTCCTGACCTCCCTTGTCATACAAGTTTGCCATCATCATTGATGCACATATGTGACCTTGTTAGGTGGGCATTTATCCTTTTACGACATTGTATATTTCATAGTCAACCCCCCACCTAGACTGGTGCCACTCTGCATATTTCGTGACTGTTTGGGTAGGTACAGCGGCGTAGACTCCTCCCCCGCAGCTAGTGTGGGTCAAGTCTACTAGAGAATACTTACCCAAACAGTCCTCACCTGCCCGTCCTCCCCACCTTGGCTCCGACATTTTTCTAAAAGAAGGATGAACATGGCAGCATGACCTCAGTGCATATAGTGGAGGTCAGGGGGCACCACAGATGATCATTTTCAGTTTTTTTCAGCGAATAACTATAGACGCATGGGAAATTTGCATATATAGTGACTGTTTGGGTAGGTATTCTCTGGTAGACTCAACCCACACTAGCTGTGGGGAAGGAATTTGTGGGCAGCACTAAACCAGTGTATGAGACAGATACCTGATGAATAACCCAGTGTACTGCTGTTTGCTTGTCTGGCAACCAGACTGCTGTTTAATCATATCAAGATACATATGGCTGCAGTTTGATATTTGCGTATTGTAAAAACTGGTATCTTTTGAACTACTCTTTTGGAGGACAGGCTGTTTTTGAAATCCTAGGTTAAAATCCTGCTTGATAGCCCTGTATAGGTGTGTTGAGAATATTCAGGTCAGTGGACCCAGTGCAGGGAAGGCAGAAGTGATGAAGCCAATAAGGCAAACGACTTCAACTGCTATCTTGTGACTTTTCTGTCCAAGCATTCAATAGCAGTCTGAATTTATGACACTTTTTTGTATGTCAACTAGTATTTCATACCAAGGGTCTAGATAAGCATTCCCAAACATTCATCAAATTGTGGGGGGGTTTTGCCAGTAGATACATGTACTTTCCAACCAGAAAATACCAGGTTCTCCATGACTCAAACTTTGTCTTGTTTTGACTGATTCCAAGTTTGATGAGAGAAAAAAGTTGGAGGGGCCTCTTGTATTCCTATGATGTGGCTTTTCTTTTTGGCATCTCTTGAAATTGGCCGGACAAACTGCTCTTGATATGTGTTTGTTGTCTTCACTATCATTAGCAAGGTTGTCACTAGCATTAGCTTATCCCAGACGTGTATCAACAATTTTTAATTATATAATTATTTTGGGGCACTGGTCATTGAGGGAAATATGTTCTTATGCCTTACGGCCACACCCTGCTGCTTACATTACTGTACATTCCACTTTGCACTTTACAATGAGATAGGAATTAAAGTACATGACAAAGAGAAATTGTAAATTCAGAATCAGCACTCACTTCTTCATACGTAGCAAGTTGGAAAATATATTTGACACAATTTTTCTGCTGTTAAGGTGTACCAAGACACTGGTCCCTTTGAGACTAATTTTGGTGTTTTACTCCTTGCTATTTTGTTCCACAGCTGGTCATTTGTGTCATATGAGTATCTGTTTCGGTTATTTACCAGTGCATGTGCTCTGTCAAGGATGGTATTACCATTTTCAAATCTGCGTTTGCATAATTACAGTTTAAAACAGTGTTGTAGTGTAACTCTCAGGAAAAATTTTATTTTATGTTATTGACCAGTACATGCTCGAGGACAAGTATATAAACATGCTCTGGCAATGTTTATTTGCCAGGGTTTCATATTGGTTAAACTTGTCCAGCCTTCCCCTAATCCCGTGACATTGAATCTTAACCACTACCTGTCGGGGAGTCCGAAATCGGAGCCGTATGGTTTATATGCATGGCCGGGGGCTCCGAAGTCGGACAAAGGAAACAGGGCCCTGTAACAAAAGACCGTACTCCAAACAAAAGACCAGGCTGCTGGGCATTACCGACATTTTTCACACTCAAAAGTGGTGATAATCCAGCGTTGTTTTGAAACTCTCAATGCCCCAAACCAGGGTTTGGGGCATTGAGAGCAAGCGCATTACCACCGGGGACAAAAGCACTCCACCAGCGCAGTGATGAGCCACACAGCACCGCTGCATGCTAATCTGGCCCCTATTGAAAAGTGCACTGAGCCAGGTTCATGAACAAAAGGCAGTTGTATAACACCGCACAATCTGGGCTCTGTTTACAAGGCTGCTTGCCTGGCTGAAATACTCGGGCATCAATGAAGGTCACCTGTCAACTTAGAGTAGTGCCCAAAGATTACTTGGTGCGGCTATAAATGACCGTTAAATGGAATGATGAATTTTTGAAGGATTTTGATAATGGAAAAAATGATAGTCATGCTGGCCTAGCATCATCAACGTTGAAAAATGCCCTGGCACGAAGTGGTTAATATTTATAATTTACAAAACCAGTCATTCTCCACAATACCAATGTACCAATTCTTTGTAACTTTGCTTTTGTGAAATCTTTTGATTACAGGGAAGATTATCGTGCTATGAGGCATACAATCGTTGACATGATTCTGGCTACAGAAATGACAAAGCACTTTGAACACCTGTCAAAGTTTGTCAACTGTATCAACAAGCCAGTATTGAGAGATGGTGAAGATACGCTATCAATGGTAAGGATTTCCCACATTTCACAAGAATCAAGTCTACATGAACTGCTTTCTAATCGAACAAATGGTTATGATCTTTTGTGCTTAATCAATGCTGAAAATCATTCACAAAGGTTAGGCATACCATCAAAATTCCTGTTGGCAGGCTTCAACCTTAAGCTTCAGGGGGTCAAGGCCACTTGGCCTTGAATGCTCCCAAAAAGCAAAGGGCACCAAGGCCAACTGAAAAGGTACCAAGGCCATTTTGAAAATTGTACTTGTTGGTGACTTCAACAGTTTTCCCTTCAATTTCAACCTGCAATTTTCATTGTTTTTGTTTGCATGCTGAGCAGTCTGCTTGAATTGTAAAAAGTAAAATGAATAATACTATACTAACATTAATTTACCATTTGATGTTGTGTCTTATTACTTTTTATAATGCCATAAAGTCTACACTGTATAATGAAAATCAAAGTACCGGTAATTACTCCCAAACAATGCAATTCAAGCAAGTCGGTCACTGAGTCACAAACATTTATCCAATAGAAGCCTGCTGGCACCCAATGATTAAAATACATACCTATACCGTGACATTGAAATAGCGAGGAAAAATTAGACTGAGTTGTACTCCTGTCTGCAATACCAAAATAATAGTGACTCTGTCTCAATAACGCGAAGTACAGAATCCAGTGGTGCAGAATATGTGTAATTCTGTGGTGCGACTTGTAACCAGTCTGTGTATAAATGTAGTCTGGTGCCACATTTTTAGAATCACACAACTCAACTACATTGATCGGTTGCTGTTCTATGTTGTCTACGGGGCGATGCAAAACCAGTCTGTGAAAAAAATAGTGCTCAGTGCAGCTGGCCGGCCGTTGACAAAAAAGCTAGCGCTAAACGGTAATTTGAAAGTTGAATACGACTTTAAAATACATGTAGGCACCTAGTGATCATTGAGGAGGGGCATGTCTGCCAAAGGTACGTGCTATTTTTAAAGGGCATCACGGCAATTCACTGGGGCATCGCGGCAGTGGCCGCTGTCAAGATCAAAGCCTGCTGTTGGGTATATATTGGGTAAACTCGCCAGACTGCAACCGTTTCTGTTGGATTTCATTAGGGCACCATTACTTCATAGAGTCCATTCTCCCTTTTCTCGATTGAAGACCTGTTAGGTTTCTGTATTTGTTGGCTGTCTAGCATTTCAAATTCCCAACCAACCCTGAATCATCCCACATGTTGACTAAAGCAGGTTTCACACTACGGTGTTACCTGAGTTATCTCAGGGTTATCGAAAAATGTTATCCCAAGATTACCCAGGTAATTGGGAGCATTCCCACTACACTTCTCAGGGTTACAAATCTTCTGGGTTAGCTGCCTCAAAATGCCACTTACCTGGGTAATTTTTAACCCTACTCATGAGATGGGTTAACCTACCAATCTTTGGGTTAATGGCATCCTTGAGACAATCCTCTGCATACCTTTGGTAGTGTGAAAGCTCGCAGGGTTTTCTTCAACCTTTCTTTTTTTTGTGTAATATGTGACCAGCCAGACCGTAAGCTGCCTGGCAGTTATATATGTATTTATATTGAGATGTGATTTTTTTGCATTGCTCGCATGCTATTGCACATTTTTATGCAATTGAGTCAGCTAGTACCTTGCTTTGCACTTGCGTTTTGTGTTGTGAATATTGCCACCATTAATTACATGTTCTTATGCATTCACGTATGCGCTTTGTCAGCGTTACACTCCTGTTTACGGCGACATTGGTAGAATCACATGGCATTTACACGTCACACAATAGTTGCATTTGCAAGCAATAGCAAGGCTGCATTTTTGGGGAATCCTTGCATTCCAGCATAGTTTTCTTGTTGCATGAAGCGCATTAAGTTTTACTCGACTCCCGAGCATGATGCTGAACACATGCCCTATTACGGTTGCTAATTCTATTTGGTTCGTGGTACGTGCATTTTAGACTTCATTGTGCACATACTTGCATGTGTATGATTGCTCTTGGTTCAAGAGACATGTGAGGTGTGGGGCCATCTTGGTCGTTAAATTCAACAACTACTATTTGTTAAATGGTTCCGTTACATTGTTGATTGTTGTGAATTTGCACCATGTTTTATACTTGGGACGAAAACTCTCGAGTGGTCTACTTGTTTGAGTTTAGCAGCCGCCATCCTTGCATCATGTTGAGTATAAAATGCAGTTTTTAGCTTGTAGTTGAGCATTACATCTCTTTTGCAACCTTGATTCTTGCATTAAGTTCCTACATGTATTGAAGATAATCAAATACACTTGATGTGGTTTAAACTTGTTATTATTATCCTTTTTTAAAATTTCAGTTTTCCTTTTAAGCAAACATTTGAACAGTCATTGATTGGATCTGTTAACTTTGAATCAAAGATTAATAGCAATGGAGAATTTGAGGAATTTTACAAACATATCGTAACTTGCATGTTTCACAAAAGTTGTAATAGGTTCTCCTAAAACAGGTATTTCAGAAGCATAAATTATTGCAAGACACTGAATATTTTTTTTTGGCTTGGGTGCTTGAGTAATCCTGGAGCTGAGAAATATAAATAATACTTCTGCAATAATGAAATAGTGTCAAAATTGTAACTGTAATCATTACCTATGCATACAACCAACATACATACAGACAAATCATACAAACAAATCTTTTGTCTTTCATAAGAAAGGTCTGGGTCACTGACTCCACTTTATTGTAGCCTTGCTCAGCGTACACGCTGTCTTACCTGGCCCTACGCCGACTGCTGATGTCATACGTAACTGGTATCTGGGCCAGTAACTTGTCTTTCTGAGTTAATTTAGTGTATACTGTTTGCAAATTGCAAGTCTTGACCTCATACCGTATGCGAGAACATACATGATTTGACCATGTAAGTTTTTTTGTTTACACAGGGGCCTGTTTGTTTCACACATACCTGGATCTCAAACATTTATCCCAAAGCTGGTTCGATCATGCTATCCATGAGGCAGGTTCTCATGTAAGTGAACCAATGACAGATCACTCAGCACTATTCGGATCTGTCTGAAACAAACAGGGACACGTCGACACTTCTTTTTCACTATCTATGGCAAAATAGTAAAAAATCTGAAGAATAGACTTTGTCTATGGAGACATCTCTTGTTTACTATTTCGATAAGAATGAATCTTTATAACTTTGAGCAATTATGCAGTCTTTTTAAAACACGATCAAGCAATATATTTCATATATTTTGAACAAACTTCAATCGATATTTTTTGATAGCCCACACTAGAATTTTAATGTGGAAATAGAAAGTGCCATGATGCTTGTTAAAAAAATGAAATGAATAGACGTAAATTAATGATTAGAATTAATAGATGTTTATTAGTGTTTAGTAGGAGTAGAAAATGAAAATAAAAGCCAATTCTTTGCCTTCTTCATTGGGTATTACATTCAATCATTTATTTAAACGTGGAACTCAAACAATGATTGCTTGCACATTAACAGAAAACACCCTTGAATCAAAAGTATGCCATTTTTTCTCTTTGTATTTAAGCACTCTTGGAACATATCCAAGTACAATTGTGTACCAAAAAAGGACTAACAGAGAGCCAAAACAGGGGCCCAAAGCTCTGAAATGTTTATAGAAAGTAAATCATTTGCTCCCTTACCCATGACAAACGAGTCACATATTACTTTTAGGGAGGGGAATAGCAAAGTCAACAACTACAGCGAAATAATCCAGAAAACCACACACCAGTTTATAGCTCCATCCTGTCAAGAAGTGACTGGTCATTTCCCATTAGGTAATTGACAACTAACCACTGGCCTACAATTTCTGGATAACTGTGATAGTGACTGTGCAAATGTATGGGGTTTTTATCAGTCAAGGAAAGCAGGTGTCCCTTTTTCCCCTGATAATTACCTGACTAGACTTTTGACAGGATGCCTTTGCAGTGCTATCTTCAGTGACCAGTGGTTCATCCTTCTGTAGTTTGCACTGTAACTTGCACAAATCAGCAGCTTCTTTACGTTACCATTTACTCTGAGCTTGTCAGTGGGTGCCTCAAAACCTTATAGATGGAGATTTCTGTGCAGAGTTGATCAAACTTAAGGCAAAGCTTTGTTGAAAGTCATCAATTCATCCGAGTAGTGTTGTGAAATGCTAATGGTACTTCTAACCTTACAGATCAAAACATAATGGCAAAATGTGTTGGGTCTTAATAACATCAAGACTAAATTTTTTGTCATGGTTCATCGAAATCTATTTCGTATTAATTTAATTTAAAAACGTTTTTACTTTCCTGAATGAAAATTCTCACAAGTAAGAGAAATTATTTGCTGTTTTTAAGACTAACTTGGGAATGAAACAAAAATGATCAAGAACTAGGTATAAATTGGGAACCAAATCAAACCAATTTACTGTAATTTAATGCAGAATAAAATCAAATGTAGCAATCTTGTCAAGAATGAAGAATTCAGGAATAGTTGCAGAATCATCCTGATTTCAAATTTAACAAGAACAAAGACTAAATAAGCCCTACAAAACCAAATTGGCATTTGTTCCCAAACCAGCCAAGCAATTTTGAACATATCCAATATTGTAATTGGGCACTTCCTGTTTTTTGTATGATCTTTCCTTGAACAGCTAAATTCATCAGAGACAACCAAGAACCATTCCCTAATTTACTCAATAGCTGTTATTTACAGCTGTTTGGGTTAAATGTCAGGAATGTGTGAACCTGACTAAAGATTTGTGGGTTTGAGAGTGTGGATGAATGTGTGTGTGTGGGGGGGTGCCTTTAAGCCTTTAACAACAATGTTTCACTGAGCAACAGACAGCAACAGTCATCAATGAATATTTTGTCTTCATCTCCAGTTATCTCCCAAGCTTAGATACATTGAATTTAGCATTCCCAAGCCTTGCTCAACTGTGCATGTCTGGTAAAATTGGTGGTCTTGATAGCCTTCTTCCCTGAATAATAATAAAAATTTGCAGGCGAACTAAGTACACCTCTCACTGGTATCTTA